AATCTTCAAAACTGTTGGACCAATTGAAATGAAATTTTGCACGGCGATAGCTTATATCCCCGGTCAACATTTTAGATACTTTTCATCCTGGAAAATCAAAGTTTCCGTGGGATTGTTGAAAAAACCTAACGTAACTTATACACCTTAGTGCACAAAAACTACCGATTGGATTTTAATGAAACCTCACAATAATATAGTTCATACATCAGAATAACAAATACATAGGCTACTTTTTATCCCGGTAAACTGTACGGTTCTCGTGGGATATATTTGCGATTTGTTTGTCTAGAGGTGAACCCGAGCGAAGCGAGGGTGAGTCGCTAGTATTGTAGTGTAATACTTAACGTTATGTTAATGACTTCAACAACGTCGTTTTCTATCGTTGAGACGATGTGTAACTTTCAATTACGATGTTATTATGAGAGTAATATTATTTAGATACGGTATGGTAACAGTATTGTTACATAAGTATTTTTAAAGGGTAATTCATAGTGATGTTTTAACGTTACCATCGAGTATTAAATATTTTTCAAGTATAAATTTAAACAACAAGTACTTAATAAAATAAAATTTGCTCTTTGTAGTATGACATTTGTATATTTAAAAAAAATATGAAAATGAATTGCGACTTCTGCGCAAAATTACTTAAAAAATTGTATTAGAAGTATATACATACGTGCGTACGTACGTAGAAACACGTACTTAAAGTATGTAGTTATATTTGTGTACGTGTTATGTATATATGTATTTTTATTTATATATGTAAATATGTGTAGAACTATTATCTTATAAATAGAATAATAGCAACACTAAATATAGATTACTAATTAATATTTAGAAATTGTAATAATAATAATAATAACAGCAAAATTAAATAAATAAAATTCCATATTCAATTAATAAACTAATTAAAATTATAAAAATGTTTAAAGTTAAAAAATATTGTAATGTAATTGGGGAAATTTTCATTTTGTTAATTGTGGGTAGGCTGTCTGTAACAATTATACCTTCGAGACATGTAACACCTCAGTCTCTCCCGTGACCATGAATGCTGTAAAGCATTCGAACGTCGGGAAACAAAAATGCAAATAAATCCGCGACAAAATCCGAAAAGATAGTTTTATTTAAAAAGTCAAATATTCGCGTAAATCTAAGAAAGTATTATTCAAATAAATTAATTGTAATCATTCTATTACGGCAGCATTTCTTTAATTTTTTGTCTGCCGATTTCTAATAAGCAAGTGGCAAACGAGCGACTAATTTTATAATGACGCAATGTAGAGGTTAATTGTCACATTAAAGTTTGAAGAACTTAAAATTCTGAAATCAAAATCAAGGTACGCTTATTCATATGTACAATACTTACTTTACTTTTAATAATATTTAGTCGCTCAAATTGGTTGTTTAACATGCGGAAAAATTATTTTAACAACTAAATTAACTTATTTTAAAAACAAATTCACTTTTTAATGGACAATGAAAATCCTATTTAGCAAATGATTAATTAATCAACTTTGTTTACGAATAATACAATCTTTAATTATTACATTTCTATACTTTAATTCTTTCTAGTTATAAAAGATAAATCTGACCAATCATACTAAAGATGCTATAAATTGGCTCTCAAATTAGTCAATCAGTGATAAACTAACAAATCTAAACTTTGCGAACCAAATTAAGGTTTTTGATTCCGATTGTCAGACCCCTTGAAACAGGATTTAAATCCAGGATTCACAGGATTAGAAAAAATATCCAATTTTCCAAATTTTTCGATCACCCCACGTCCTACAAGATTTACAATGTATCTAACTAGTAGTATAAGTTGCGCTAGAGGGAGCTGATTCTATTATTGAATGAGTCAATAATTTATATTATATGAATGATTATTACTGCAGAGATGAGAGACCTGTTTAAAATGCTATATAAAATTATAAATTCATTAACCACATTTTTAAAACGTTTTCACTTATAATATATTTCTCTGTTTCAAAATAAGATGAAATGCTCGACATCAATAGGAAAACTTTGAAGTTGTCCTCATTCTCATCAACGTCTTCTCGTCGTATCTTTAAGGACGTGAAGAAATTGTTCGCGAAAATCTTTCAAGGTTTACAAAGATTGGTGGGTGTAGATGCGGTGGTAGATTAAGAGGAAGACATGAATATTCGGTTACTTCAAAAATCTCTCATATTCTCTTTAAGTATGCTCTCTCGATTTTCTCAAATCTCTTATCCAAAAGAGTATGTTCGGACTTTGAACATCAGCCGTAGTTGATAGTGGTAAGGAGTGACCGCAATAATACTTTCTTAGATTTACGCGAATGTTTGACATTATTAAATAAAACTATCTTTTCGGATTATTTCGCGGATTTATTTTGATTTTTGGTTCCCGACGTTTCGAATGCTTTACAGCATCCATGGTCACGGGAGAGACTGAGGTGTTACATGTCTTGAAAATGATCATTTTGTTAATTGTGGGTAGGCTGTCTGTAACAACTGTCTATATCTTCATAACCCAACCAAAAATCAAAATAAATCCGCGAAATAATCCGAAAAGATAGTTTTATTTAATAGAGTGACCGCAATATTTATTTGCAATGTATATGCTAATTCAAAATACCTTACTACCGTATTAATGGAATGAATAATCACACAACTACTATACATGCGAAAGTTTTTATGTGAATATGTTACTACTTCTAACGGCTTAATAAATTAAGTAAAATACGAAATGGAGCTTATATCCTGGATTACTTACTGTACGGGAGAAACTGCGAGTGTACACTATTACATAAAAGCGTAAAGAGGTTGCTTTTTATTGAGGCCTTAGTTATTTTTACATAAAGCTGTTAGTTAAGCAAAATTGGCTTTACATGAAATATTATTAGTTTAACTTTAAATAAAATATCATGTGGTGGTAGAGAACCTTTCACAAGTCCGCCTCGCACTTTACCGATTTTTCTTCCTGTGTTATGTGTATGGAGTAACAAGATTTTTAAACAACAAGCGTAATTTAATGAATATTGGAAATAATGGAATAAATAATTAATTTAAAAAAAAAAACAAAAAAAACACACACACTATGAAAAAAAAAAGACTTTGACGTATTTAAAGCAATGTATTCTATTGTTCACAAAAAGCATTATGTATTTCTCAAAATTAGCTATCATTAAATTGTTTTACTTCTAATTTACATTATTTATTAATTCAACCCATTTGTTAGTATGTAACTATATTTTTTTAGCATTTGTATATCGTTATCGATGTAATTTCATAAACAGCGTTGACTTTCAAACAGTTGGTTGGCTACGATTAGTTAAACTGTTTACCGAGCCACTCTGCTTTCGGCGATCGTTTAGACTACACATAGGTCTTCTTAGAACTTCCGTACGTAGTGTCGTGCCGTTAATCAACCTATTTTAAATAGTGACATATTTAATATTACTTTATATAATACGTTATTTTAGCAGTTAATAATTTTATATATATATATTAGTGGGTTATCATTCATATCGTAAGTTTATATACAATTATATGTATATTTTATTGAATTTTGTTTATAATTACGAATTCGATTATTTGCTTGCTACTCCTACACTGCCTTCCGGCCCAGTCGTCATCGTTCCATAAGACTGGATAAAATTTTTAGTCGGGCTAAAATTAGTCAGGCTTACCATCCCCCATATAGACATAATTTAAATAGTTTTATTTATTTTGCAAGTGTAGATACGCACTTATGCTATTATAATTGCTTTTCTTTTTTTGCGGTTTTTTACAAACACGTGTTACGATTTAGTTTTAACCCCCGACGCAAAAAGAGGGGTGTTATAAGTTTGATGTGTCTGCCTTTGTATCTAAACTAACTAACCTAATCGAATGGTCCGATTTTAATGTGTTTTGTTTTTGTTTGAAAGTTGACGTGTTCGAGATGGTTCTTAGCTATAATTTATGAATATCTTTTTAGGCGTTTGATGATTATCAGCTCATTTCCTATATGACAAAAGGGTCTTATTAACTTTCATAGATCCGATTAATTTGAAATTTGGTGTAATGTTACTTGGGTGATATTTTTAAGACATGCTAACCTTGAGCTGATGCTGTAGCATAAAATAGTCTGCGGGATGCTCAATTCCTCAGAAACTTACGGCAGATATAGCGTTTTTGAGCTCATAAGATGTATGCAAGCAATTTAAAAATAATGAAATAAAAATAAATTAAAAAAAAATTTAGTAACCCCTGACACAAAAAATACTCTGAAAAGTAAAAAAATAAAATTCCTCTTTTTGCCTTTTAAATACATTAAAAGTACCTATTAATATTTTGATAATGAGCGTCGTCGCGGCGGGGAATTTCTACCGAATAAAATAAAAAAAAGAATACAAAAAAAACTTTAAAAAATATTTAAAGTTTTTTTGTATAACTAAACGGAGGTTTTCATTTAGGTATCTCCTAATCAGATATTTTCGAAGTCGGTGCCAGCCGATGCAAAGCAAATCTAATATTTCGATACGTAAAATGTATATTTACCTATTAGATATTCATATCTTAAAATATTGTAAGATATGAATATCTAATAGGTAAATATATATATTATGTATCTATTCTAAATGAAAACCTCCGTTTAGTTATTTTTTACATTTTAGTGCCTGGAAGTCGGTTTTTATTTATTTTTTTAATTTTTTTCCATTTTAGTGTAGACGTAATAAGCAGGTAATTTGTAAGAAGAAAGTTTTTTAATAACATATTGGACGCTCGACCGATTTCGTTAAAATTTTTATTTTATTTATATGGGACCACTTGGGAAGTATACCCTTTGAAACACAAAAAAAAATCTAAATCGGTTCAGGCGTCTTCGAGTAATCGGTAAACATACATAAAAAAAAGATTCCGAGGAATTGAGAACCTCCTCCTTTTGGAAGTCGTTTAATAAAAAGAAGATTGATAATGATAAAGTACCTACTCGTATTAGTCTATATTATGTTAGTTTGTGCGCGGCTTATAATGTCAGGTATGTCAACAATTAAATCACACGGCGCATCACAGAGCACAATACTAACGGCGCATGTTACCACTTCACGTTAACGTACACGTAGCATGTACGTTTCGGATTTATATAGATTACTAGCAGAACTCGCGGCTTTGCTCGCGCTAAAACTCCAAAAAAAACTCTAAAAAGGTATAGTAGGTTTCATACAAACTTTCCACCTATATTTTATCCCGGTATGTATAAACGAGCTTAGAGAATGTATTAATACCTTTAAACGAATAATTCTTGTACATCGTCTATCTCGGAAACGGCTCTAACGATTTTGGTGTCTGGAGGTTTTCGGGGACGAAAAATCGATCTAGATTAGTCTTATGTCTGTAAAAACGCGAGCTTTCGAGTTTTCATGCGGTTTTCTTTCGCATTATTCCACGCAAAATATGGTCGCTAATTTCGTATGCTCAGGCATAAGCATCGTGTTCAATAGGCCAAGGCGCAAGATTGACAATCACAGGTGTCCGGGTTCGAATCTCGGTCGGTTACAAATTATTTAATTTTGTTTTTTTTTGTATTTATTCAAGTTTTTTTTGTTTTTAAGTCAAATTAAAAATGAACATTTTATTTTATCACTTTACGTTTTACTCTTTAAGTTTATAGATAATTATCATCTAAAAAATACGATGTATCAAAAAAAAACTCCGAGAGAAGCTCGGTCGCCCAGCTACTACGTATTTATTTAATTGTACTGAAGAGCTATTTAAGTAATTTTAAGTAATTCTGATCATAAATAATTTTTTTTCAGAGAATTTCAAGTAATTCTGATCATAAATATTTTTTTGCGTTGTATTATAACGTGTATTCCCGTAGTAATTAGATAACCTCCCGCGGTAAAAAGTACCTCTATGTCAGTCGCTCTCCAGCCCTCCAACTATCTCCATACAAAAAGCACGCCAATCCGTCACCCTGTTTTGACGTGAAAGAAGGACAAACAAACACACTTTCACATCTATAATGTTAGTATGGAGATGATTCGTCTTTTTGGGTATGTAATCAATTGTTTTTGTTAAGTGATGATATTTATTTCTAAAATTATAATAATTAGGAATATTGAATTTTATTTCGCTAATATGTTATGTAGGTAAATATCCAGAGAATTTGCAACTCTATGCACAATTGGCACTTTTTTTTATAAGTTTCATAGAGTATGTACCTATTGTAACATGAGGTAATAGGATTTGTAACGAGCATAATATATTACATTAGATTATAGATCGTATATGTATTGATTGTACACAGTCTCTCGCTTGGTCTCGCAAGTGCAATATGCACTTAAATTATATGCTGGACATGAGCCTCCTTTCAATATGAGGGGGGTTAGATCATAGTTCCCCTCGTTGGCCAAGTGCAGGTTGACGGACTTCAAATATCTTTTTCGCAAACTTGCTAGATTCTCTCACAGACACGCAGGTTTACTCACGATGTTTTCTTTCACCGTAAGGCAAATGGTTATCATGTTGGAAAATGATTCACACGTGAAAATATCAGAAATGCGATACCCGGGGTTTGAATCCGCTTCACTCGGTTTCCCCAGTGAGTCCTTTACCATTGAGCTAGGGACCGCTGCCTTAAAGTAATTGGATATCATTTTTTTTTATTTTGTTCACATCAATCAACTGGGGAATCAAAATGAAAGTTTTTAAGAAGCGTAGAAGCTGTAAATAAAAAAATAATTTACAAAAATAAAAATAAAACCGACTGCGTAAAAAACTAACTAAAAAGTTGCTACGTATAGTATAAACGAGTATATCTGATTGCATAATACTAAGTTCCTTCGATAAGTTGTTCTCACCAATCGTTTTTATTACTTTATTTCAAATTATGCAGCGCATGCAGATAATGCAATAATTTTAAATTGTATCCGATCGACATTTATGACAGTATATATAATTTTATTGGAATAAAAAAAGTGTGTGTGTACTTATGGAAGCACGTATGGAATTATACTTCTTCGGCATAACAAAACAAAAATAACTGCAAATTTTTTATCCTGCATGCTAATACAATACATTTGTAGAAACGACGATTAAATAATAAATACATGAAATACAATTGATACAGGTTTAATTAAAAATATAATCCATACTTCCATACTTAATATCATAAATGTGATGGTTAGTGTGTTTGTTTGTCTTTCTTTCACGTCAAAAAGGCTTAGCGGATTAGCGTGATTTTTTGTGTGGAGATAGTTGGAGGGCTGAAGAGTAGCATAGGTACTTTTTACCGTGGAAGATACCACGGGAAAGCACGTTATAATATAATCAAAAAAAATATATTTATGATCAAAATTACTTGAAACTTAGTATTAATGCTCTTCAATACAATTAATTAAATACATGTTTTAGCATGTTTCGAAATTCATCCCAAAAGCCTACAATGTTAAAGTTTGTAGTTTTAGCGCAAACGAAGCAACGGGTTCTGCTAAATATTAAATAAAATTCTTTAAAAAGAAGAAGATAAACTTTAGATTAAATCAAACCCAACAATTTATTACATTACACAATTGATATGACATAAAAGCTTATTGCGAGATTTACCTTTGTAGATACTAGATAAACAAGAATATAATATTTAAAATTATGCATTTTTGAGCATTTAAGTAAAAGCTTGTTTTTAAATATGTTTTTTAATATTAATTTGTTTTTTATTTTTTAGTTTTTATTTTATTCCTATTCTTCTCAGCAAACCCTTTCATGGGATACCCATAAAATCATGGAGGTTCTTAAAAAACATAGTCCGCCATCTTTGGGAGACCGCCATATTGGACTTAGAATGACGTTTAGTCAAATTTAACATTCAAGATTTGATTACAAACAGGCATAGACATAGACACCGGGACAGGTGAAATTAAATAAAAGCTTGTAATGATAATTAGCCAATTTGCGACATCCGCCATATTGGATTTACAATGACGTCACTTTACTCATCGTATTTCGCTTATCAAGCCGTTTTACTTGATAACCCTATAATAGGGGTTAATGTAGAAATTATAAATCCCCATTTTGCGGCGGACTAGTTATTGTTAATGCACTCCCATAATATGGATATCAAATGAAAGGGATTGCTGATAATAACTTAAAAAATAAAGTGACGTCACTCTAAATCTTATATGGCAGAAATTACAAAACGGTGATTTATCATTTCCATAGAGATTCTTAAAATATGGGCATCAAAATAAAAGGGTTTGATGATTGAAACACAATAAGCAATGTGACGTCGTGGTAAATCCAATATGGCGGACTCCCAAAGATGGTGGACTGTTTCTCTATGCAAACCCATGATAGGGATATCATATGAAAGGGTTTTGCTGGGAGGAATACGAGAAAAAAGTAAAAAAGTTTAAGCATTTAAAAAAAAAGCTTTTATTTAAATGTCCTAAACAACAAAGAAGTATAACTTCTTACATACACATGCATACATGATTGTGGAATGGCGAGCACGAAACTCTGTTTTCAGTAGGTAATTTTTAACGATACAGGTTTTGATGTCTCATCATATTCATGTGTTTAAAGAATACGTGATTTAATCAACTTTTCTATAAAGGTATACTCGCAAATTATTTGACACGTAGAGTAAGAAAACGTGAGTTCTTACACGTAAATTTTAGTGTTTGGCACATTTTAATAAAATCAGCGCTTATATGTGAACGTCGTGGATGTAATTTTATAAGTGATTTTACGTTCTTATATAGTATTTAAAGGACGTGTCTTCTAAATAGAAGGAATATCTTTAGTTTTAAGGTGAGTTCAAAAGAATGAGCTTTCTTAATTACCTACGCATGTGTAAAAAATATTCGAAATAAGAAACATATTAAAAAATTGTCGAATATCTGTTTCTGTATTTATTTCTTATGCATTTTTTTGTTATTTTTTGTCCTGTGGCTTTTAGGCGTGCTAGTTGGGCTCAAGTTACTTCCCCAAATCGCGTAGAAATCTGTGTTCTTAAATATTATAATCAATAACTATCCTTTGAATCGTCTTTTAATATTAAAAGTTATAATCAGCAAAATACAATTAGTTTTTGTTATGCATAACTGCATTACGTATCTATAGTGTAAGACAATTTCACTTATCCTTATTTAGTACTTAGGTATATATTTACCGCAAATTTGAATTAAATTTCTATAAAAAATGCATCGAATATATATTTCATTTTATTTATTTTTCATTATTTTAAAATTTGTAGGAAAAAGAATTTAAATTACACATCTATAAGTAATTTATAAGTAACTAATAAAGTAATAAACTCAGATATAAGTTATTGTTTATTAAGAATATCGTTAAAGCAGATTATTAATTTAAACTGTTCTATTTTTTTTTATTTGACTACGTTTTAATCAAGGACAGAAAGATGGACTGACCTTGACAAGGAATCACAAAATTATACCATAATGCCTCTATATAAGGCAAATAATTAATTTTAATGGTATTATGAACTTCGTTTGCACCATACCCACCAATATTTAAATAAACAAAGAATATTTACATGTTACTTTTAGAATGTCACCATCATCTGTTGAAGTAATCTATAAGTACTCAAATGAAGAATTCAGCGATGAGGGAAGTACAAATATGGAATTTAAAAGTGAATCACAAAAGAATGTTGATTATTACTATCAAGCACTGCCTAAAACAGATCCAAAATTCCTTGCGCCCTTAAGAAGATGGGAGAAACAAATGGGCTTCGTCACACCTATTCGTTGGACCATGGTTCTGACGTTAGCCTTATTTCATATTTTAATGGGCTTAGGTCCCATTTACTACCTTTTAACTGGTGGAAAATTTCCTATGTGGAAAACTTTTTTATTTGGTAATAATATATGTCATTATATAATTATTAATTTTATAAAAAAATATTACTGCTTTTAAAAATAAATCTCTAAAGAGTATTAAAAAAAATTGTTACCCGCGACTTTTTTTTATGTTTGTTCGCGTGGCAACAGATTTTTTTATTATTTAAAAAACCACAAAGTTATACAGAGTCATTTTTAATTTACTGAAGACCTTTTGCGAATATACTATTTACATCTTAACAACAACATCTGTAAGAAAAAAATAATATTTCTTAAATTTTTATTTTCATACAAAAATAAAAATATTTTTATTGAACCTTCTAAACGGTAATAGCTAGCACTATTACCGTTTAGAAGGTTCAATAAATTCCATCTGCCCACTCCACCCCTCCCACTCCACCGGCCATGCGCTTTCTTTTGCTAATGCTGGACTATTACCGTTCAGAAGGTGCAATAAAAATATGTCTAGTTTTGTAAAAAAAAAATCTTACAGGTGTTGTTATGATGTAAAAAGTATATTCCCAAAAAAGTTTTCAATAAATAAAAAATGATCCTATATAATGCTCAGCTTAATTTTATGTTTTGTGTCAGTTTTTTTAACTGATGTTATATCATTTGAAGGAAATTGTTATTTGCTCCTTATAATTTATATTATAAAAACAAATATGTGTAAAACGGTAATTAACTTATCATTTTTTTGCTTGCAGTTGCTATAGTGGTCAAACTATAACACAAATTACTTTTTGTCGAGATACGTTAAATAGTTTTCTTATGCTATTAATTTATTACTAATAAATAATTATAGTCTAAGAAATCTCTAGGATTGTATAAAGTGATGTATCCTGAATGCGTTACAATGCTTTAAGAAAAATTATAATTCTTATAAAAAATATATTACAGCGTTGTTCATTGGAGCTTATGGAGGATTTGGCGTGACTGGTGGTGTTCATCGTTACTGGACGCATCGTTCATATAAAGCTAAATTGCCACTTAAAATAATACTTATGATTGGATTTGCAATATCTGGACAGGTAATTGATTTGTAAATATTTAACTTTTTATAACGCCTCGGTTATGGGTAATATAGTCCAAATCGAGGTTGTAACAGTAGCCTTTACTCTTGTGTATCTTTATATATACATATTAGGGTGTGCCCCAAAATATCTCAGAAAATGTCCCAATAAAGCTCCTGTTAAAGAGGAATTCAAAATTCCAGTTCTATGAGGGTCTCCATCGAATTTTAAATTTTCCCGTATAAATAACATAGAAAACATGGTTTTTAATACTTTTTTGTCTTCAATATTTGATTTGTTAGCTTTGAAGTTCAAATTTACGGTCTTTGCATTTTTTAGCAAAACTGTGGGTAAGTTAAGGTAGTAAGTAGGTTTTAACAAATTTAACATTTTTCTCTAACTGTAAGTGTTAGAGAAAAATGTTAAATTTGTTAAAAATGTTAAATGGCAAATTTGTAATGCGTTTAAAATGTTATAAAAAAGTCTTTGTCAACTTTTTCATATCATCAATAACAACAAAGTTACAGGCCCATGAATATTATTTTTTTCAAATTTTTGCTTTTACGAACTGAAATATAGATAATTAAACAAAAACTTTGGTGCAAATTATATATATAATTGCAATCTAAGAATTAAAATTTAGTAAGCTTAAATTTCTTTTTCTGTGCGCTTCCGCGTAAAGCATCATCTTATGTAAATACATAAGTTAAATTCATTATCTACACACATGTATTTATTGCAATTCGACAAACTTATGTACTTAATATTATTACAACGTAAAAGGAAGTAGCCTTGACATTTATTTATGATACAGAATAACATAATGAACTGGGTACGTGACCACCGTGTTCACCACAAGTTGTCGGAGACAACAGCGGACCCCCACGATGCGCATCGGGGATTTTTCTTTGCTCACGTCGGTTGGCTTATGATGAAGAAACATCCTCATGTCATCAGCGAAGGAAATAAAATTGATATGAGCGATATATTGAATGACCCGGTTGTCCAGTTTCATACGAGGTAGATAATCTATTATATTTGCTATAATGTATCATATTTGTGTGTATGTATATATTTAAAAAAAAGCCTGTAAAAAGCGAACTAAAACGATGCAAACAAGTTGACGAAGTATATGCAGTCGAAAACATAGGAATATGTACCTATACACGTAGCAAAACTGAGTTGTCTCCGACGCCATAATGTATACATACTTACAGAACCGGCTTCGCCCGCGTTCAATCTACAAAAAAAAAGTCTTTTGATTTATGTCATACTAGCTACACACCCTCGCTCCGCTCGGGTTCTTCCTTGGAGTTAGTCTCAGAGATGAGATATTTTCCCGCAGTAAAAAGTATCCTATATGTTGTGTACCCATCCAATACATCATACCAAATTTCATCAAAATCTGTCCAGTAGTTTTCTCGTGCGTTCCTAGATTGATAGACAGACAGACAAAATTCTAAGATTCTAAAAACTATAGATTTAGCCTCTGTATCTATAATAATTACTATTTTAATAAGATTTTCCAAAAAATATTTAATGTACAGATTTGACTCAGAATTTTAATAATAAAATTCTCTATTATAAAATAGATTTTAAATATATAAGATGCATGTATATTATATATTTGTGATCGACTCTTAAGCGCCTTCATTTTTTTACTCCACTTGATAAGTTTGGAAGATTTTTTTTCTTTAGTATCACGTAATCATTATAGGGTATTTTAGATTGTTTCAATACCAATATTTAAAAAACTATAGGTACAAAAAATATATTAATATATAAATATTATTGTTACTACTGTAGTGTATTTTTAATGTAAAATAGGAAACATTATAAGGTCATTCAAGTGTATTTCTGTTTACGTGTTATTCTATCACATACTACGATTTTCCTAGAATTTGTAAGAAATAAGTTAAAAGGTAACGAAAAAACAAAGTCTACAATTCTCAGGTACTTAGGTACTGAACCATCAGTCGCGCGATTTTGAGCCGCATTTAATCAAAATTCATTATGATTTTATTTTCAATTTTTTTAGATACTTCGCATTGATGAAAGTAATGCTATGTATTGTGATACCAACTTTGATACCAATATACTTTTGGGGTGAGTCGCCGTGGACATCAATAATGACTACAGCAGGTCGATATGTGCTACTTGTCAATATGACTTGGTCAGTCAATAGTTTTGCTCATATTTGGGGAAATAAGCCATACAATACGTGAGTATTGTTTTTTTAAGTACATATATTATTTTTATCTACTTATACCTGTAAAACGAAATATTATTGCAGCTGATTAATTAAATGAAAACGCACAGACTAAACCGGAGGACCTAGAGTCTTGTTTAGAGGAAATGTTGAGTAGGTACATTACGATTGCTCGTAGGTAAATATACAATTAAAAATATTGTTGTTTCTGTCTGTGAATTCAAAATCTTATCTGTCTATCACCGAAAAGATAAAGTATTCCCGCGGGATGGTCAGAACAAACTTTGTAACTTTTTGTAACTCGGTGCGATTAATTATTGCTGTTTAACGAAATTAATGAATTAGTGGAGTGCTTAGGAGGTTTGGCCTCATAATTTATTTTAAAGAAATAGTTGTAAATCAACCTGTTTTTAAAACTACAAAAATATTTTAACTTAACTTATTTATTGAGTCGTTATTTTTGATAAATTGAAAAATATTTTCATCGAATTTTTAATTGGAATTCAAAATGTTTAAACAAATCTTTTTTATGACAAACATATTTTTTATCTTTTTCATTATTTGTAATTGTGTCATAGTACAGTTCTTTTAAGAAATAAATATGTTGGGACATTAACACACAGCACCATCTAGTTCCATGGTGAGCTACGAGGCTTGTAAAGGACAGACAAACAGATGGAAAACGACATTTTACGCTTTTAAGTACATATTGAATAAAAAAATGTTTTTAATTGTTAGAAAAGTATAGGTCTCGTATATACAATATACATATACTATATTATTTCCTTAAAAATACTTACAATTTAATGTTCTTATAATTCATATAGTAAAATGTGGTTAAAAACAAGTAACTATATATGCTCATAAATTTCTTACAGAAAAATAACTCCAGTGGAAAATTGGAAGGTATCTCTTGTAGCAATGGGCGAAGGTTGGCATAATTACCACCATACTTTCCCATGGGATTATAAGGCAGCAGAACTGGCATATTTCATTAACATTACTACTTTATTAATCGATATGTTCGCGGCTATAGGCTGGGCATACGATATGAAGAAAGCTTCGCCTTCACTTATACAAGCTGTGGTCCGAAAACGAGGACCACAAGCGGAACACCATCGTGAAACCGTAATGCATGAATAATTTGTACCTTTTAAATTTAGACTAAGTTAAACAATTACAAATATAGAATACGCGAAGTAGTACAGTGATGGAAATAGTAGTGTATTTGCTTATATTATGTTAAAAATATATGTAGTATTCGGAAAGTACACACATATTACCGATGAGTTTGATTTAATTTTTATTGCTCTATAAGCTCTGTTTCTGTCTGGGTATGTTTTTTTAGTGTATTTCCTTTTTGTATTATGACAAAAGAATATATATTACTTATATTCAATTATTAAGTTGATAGTAAAATTAGCAATATATATTGTTATCTATTTATAATTTTATTATATTTAAGTAAATAAGTGTATAAAATTATAAAGAAGTTAAAATTGCACATTAAATATTTATCTAATAAATTGTGTATATTATTTATTTATTATTTTTGTTGATGCGAAATCAAACATTTTTGTATTTTTTGTCTATTACAGAATTTATGTGAGCATAGATTCTTAATTAAGCAATTCCTTTTGAGCGTTTGCTGAAATATACAAAATATGCAATATTTCCGTTTGTCGTATTTATTATTTATGGTGTTAATTATAAATTAATGCAAAAACACTTTACTTATATATTGTTATAGGTAGCTATAACATCAATATCTTATACGTCACATGTAATACGTGAGATGTAAGAAGTAGTGTAATAAGTAAGTCAGTGAGTCGGGACATTGGCTTTAATATAATATAATATTATATAATAAAAATAGTTATTGAGAGTGTTAATTATTAGGAGACAGATATACAGTTATTATAAAGGACTTCTGTAGACCTTTTAAAGACCTACAGTTTTCTAGTACATCGTTGTGGTGTATCTCTTCAGGTTTAGCCAGCGCTAGCCATATCCCGGGGGAGAGGCCAACTCCTACCGGGCGCGTCCCCCAGGTGGCGGATAGGGGCATGGCACCCGCTTAGAGGGGCGGGTGGTACCGGAGAAGTCCAGCGCGGACCAAATGGCTTGGGTGGGGCCGCTCGTCTAGGCCTCGAGCCGAGGACGTTGCAGCAACCGGTGGTGGGGTGTTCTCACAATCGGATGATGGGTGCCGATTTCGGGACTGTGGTCGCAGGCCCGCATCCGGCGGAGGGGTAGGCCGCGGCGGGAGAGGAGTGCCGGTATTATTTTTATTATTTTTCCCCCTGCCTTAGTGGGAACTAAGGGGGGGGGGGAAAGGGATGTCTGGTTATAGTGGGTAGTACCGGCTCTTCTAGCCAGTGAGCCCCACATCACCACCTGGGGGATCAGGTGGTATGCGTAAATGCATTTCCCGACGATAAAAAAAAGCGTTAGCCATATAAATTTCTAAGGACGACTCGATAGAACCAGTTATTGTGATTTCCCCTGGGAATGAAAAATTTTCTTCAGTTAAAGGATTCCTAAATGTTGACCCGAGTAATAAGCAGAAGATTTCTAAGGAGGACTCCATAAAACCAGTTGTTGTTATTGTTTTCCCGTGAGAAAGAAAGATTTTCCTGAGGTAAAAGGTAACCTAAATGTTGACTCGAGTAATAAGTTATCACTTCACCAAATTTCCTTGAAATCGGTTCATTACTTTTTGCGTGAAACACGCACACAGAAACAGACAAAAAAATAATAACTATCTTTTGATGTGTGCCTAGGTAGTAATTATTAGAAGTTTGTTGACACTCCTAGCTCTCAAAACTACCTTCCTACTCTATATCAATTTTATTTTTGATTGTTGCAATTCATTATGAACCTCGAAAGTCGTTGAGGATGACAACAATTACATGTCCAAAGCTAGATTCAAACCCATGCTTCTTAAAAACACATTCTTCATCCATGGTTAGATAATAAAATGTAATCCTTAAAAAATATCAAATATGAGATAAAATTTCATAATTTCAGATATTGCTAATAATATTTCTTAATGACTTGTCTGACAGATCAAATCGTGACTATGTGAAGGCTAAGTTGAGAAACAGCACACGTTAGATATAGAAAGTTCCCAAGCCAAAAATATCATGAAAGCCATGACATTTAGAAAGGAACATCTTGACGCATTCGTTATTTTAATTAGTTAGGCTAGAGTTGGTCCCAAAACGTACGTTTACCTTGTCGCGGTGGGGTCTGCTTCGGCAGATCTGCCTTTGGGGCGTCGTAGTTGAGTGCGTAAGCGATCCGGCGACGCCCCATGAAGACAGAGTTAAAAAATTGGTTTGATTTTATGTCAGATTATGGTATGTTTTAAGATGGGGTGAATGGAAAATACAAATTAAACACTGTTTACGAAAGGGTCTCATCTCAGGGGTGTAAGGACCATTTGTTACGATAATATAATAGATCATCCAGATCGTGTATTCAGAAGGGCTTGAGGAGAGAGAAAAGCGTTGGGATGCCGGTAGCTGGTTTGTTGATAATGGAGAAAGTTAGAGGTGCACACGTGCTAAGCGGTCATGGTTACTTCGAGATCTACCTGCATTAGATTGCCTTTGATTCGCATATTATGGGTCTGGCGTGCCCATACATATTGCGCTACTTAATGGTAAAAAAGTACTGAACGGATTTCAACATAATTTTGTGCAATGATAACTTATTACTCAGGTGAGTGACCGATGTAGTCAACCTAACAACAAAAAACAATATTATTTAATTTGGCTTTTATTCTGACATAAATTCTCAGAAAAAGCAGTGTTTGGTGGTGGTTTTGACCCCATGCCTCGGAGAGCACGTAGAGCTGTCGGTCCTGCGCAGGGTCGGACTATTCATAATGCAGCGTAGGCAACTGCCTAGGGGACCCCCATTGGCCAAGGGCTCAATGAACCGAGAAAAAAAAATGTTTCATCGAGTGAAAGTTTAATTTGAAGATTTGTATCCTTAATAACAATATTTTTGCTTTTTTCATATTAGGTATATTGTCTTATTGTACGCTTCAATGCGGCTGAGCATAGCACTTTGCTTAACAAAAAATATGCAGCCTACTCAAATTTAGTAATTCCTACTAATAATTATATATACTTATTTGGTATAGAAAGTATACTATTACAAAGAGGAATCTTTATTCTTTAAAAAAAATTACCTCTTTAAAGCTTTCCATTGATATAGTTATAACAAAAAAAAATTCAAATAAATTAAATAAAAAAGTGCCATTCAGCCATACCCGAGATGGAAGGTAGTTTTCAAAAAGTAGAAAAAGTCATTTTTTAATGAAATAACCTGACTTTTCGAAAGTTTGAACCTACATAAATTCAATCAAAATGGTAATAATATGAAAGATTAATATACATTTTTAAAGAAAATTATAACAGCTCAACTTGTTTTTTTCTGAAATGGGCTACCTTCTTCTTTATTTCTCAAGATATTTGGAAAATAAGTCATGAAAATAGCATTTTTAGAAATTTTGAAAAATTCAAATAAACTAATAGAAATAAAGGAATTAGTTCTAAACAAATGAAACGATTCGGTACTTCGAACTCGTTTAAGGTAATCATCTAACGATCAAGTGTACCATATCAAGAACGGTTGAGTATTTTGGGCACTATCCTGATGACAAGGCGATTCTTACTGTTTGTACTTTGGTCAATTTAAAATAGTCACCCATCCAAAAATAAACCATTTTATTTATACTAATCTTTAAACTAGATAGTTAGTTATCCAAAAAATATCTGTTTGGAATTATATCAGAAGCACTTCGTATGCTCACGCAATATCATGATTATTTGAATATTTTTGAATGGCATAAAAACAATAAAAAATAAATAAACGTAAAAGTTTAATATGCTTAAGATAATTTAATCAGCTTCAATATGCTTTTTTTCAAAAATATTTTTTCTGTTATTAATCTCTTAATATTTGGTGTAACATTCAGTTATTTTATGTGCCAGTTTGTAGATTTTGACAATAGATTTTCTATATGTCAAGTGGACAGTCGGGGATTCGGATTATATGAGTTACGAATATAAAATATAATTGTTAATTAAAGGATTGAAGAAGTGATATATACTTATAGATTTTCAAACCGGATAAACGGATTTAGAAAATACCGATCTACACTTGATAATCTCAGTGATTTAGTATTGACAATACAGAAAGTTTTCTTTTAAGGAAGACGTACACTATAGTACGTTTTATAGACATCGATAATGCATATAATAATATTAATATCAGAAGTCTTTTACATAATATGGAGGAAATGGGAGTCGGATCTAATATTTGCAACGACATACATAATTTTTTTTAAGGAAAGAAATCTTAATGTTTTAATTGATAACTCGTATTATGTCTCTAGGAAAACTTAGCCCAAGGCGATTCTTTATCACAATATATATAGTTACATATATGTATGTATATATATATATATAACTTGTGATAACTTGAGTTTAGGGATCATACATATGCAGAGATCGCTAGATGAATTGAATTATTATTTAATTATATTTTGAATTATTTATCTGATATGGGGTTGACTGTATCGCCATCAAAAACAAAGATTTGTGTTTTCAAGTCTGGCCATAGAAAATAAATAATTAATTTAAAAATTAATAACATCGCTTTGGAAAATGTTGATAATGTTAAATATTTAGGTGTTTGGCTGGATAAGTCACTGAAATAGAAGAAGCATATAGATGAATTAAAAACTAAATTATCTAGATGTTTAAAAGTTTTAAAGATCTTGGCAGTTCTAGTTGGGGTATTCATCCAGTGCACATGCGACGTCGATATATTTCATTAATTCGTAGTAAAATTGACTATGCCAGTATTCTATACGACAATCGGTATCCATTTTCTACATCCACAACTAAAATTTATAAACAAATACAAATTATGAACCTACATCAACTTTATATACCTATATGAATCTTGCATTCTGATAAGGAAAATTATTAGTAAATCTGTAAATTGTAATTTATCTTTTATAAAACATGTTAGTAAGCGTAGCACCTATCGCGACCTAGTCTACTAGTTCTCCCAAAAACTAGAAAAAATATGCAAATAAAGATATTTGAAGGAGCACAACT